GTAGGCTTCGGCCGCCACCCGGGCAAAATTCCAAATTTCCTACCAACTGAAAATATTAGGTGTGTCCCGCGCGCTCATATGACCTATGCAGTTGCGAGCGCCGTAAAACACTTTACAAAAACCAAAAAAAACAAAGGGGTGGATGTGAACAGAGAAGTCCAAACAGGGAATCAGACTTAGACTGCTCACCTCTCGAGCTTCAACAGCTCTAAATCTGCTTCCACTATCAAGGCACGATAGTCAGGATGAGGAAAGAAAAAGCAGCAATTTCTTGTTGCACTTCCGGCACAGTATGAGCATGATATTGATAAATCAGCCCATTTACAATTCTACCGTGCATAAGAACATGTTACTATCCCCCCTTTGGGAATGGCCTAAAGACACTTCAGTCAGTGGCACCGCCCCGAAGTGGTGCAACAGTGATGAATCACATCAACCCATATTGTTACAGTAGCCACATAATTGCCTGGCTCAAAATCACATGGCTATAAATGAAACCAATCCATATTGTCTCAGTATTAACATAACCATCTGTGGGTGACAATTATAGCGATAAATGAACCCAGTCGATATCATCATAATCATATCATAATTGTCTAGGTCACTTCGTATGGCAAATATTGAAGTCAATCTATGACGTTCAACCAAAAAGAGATCCCCAACATGCACAACGTACACATGGGACATCCGAGATTTTTGGTCCTTATTTGAGAAGACTAGGAGCTTGATCCTACCCACTGCAAGAACAAGGGTGTGGAAGAGGAAAGAGATGTTCAATGTCTAGTAAATAGAATCACATCAAGATTATAAAGGTCATAGAGTGAGAGGAAGAAGCAGAACAGGGAGTTAGTTTTGTTTTAGTAGAGGTTTTACAGCACTCGCAACTACATAAGGTCATATGAGCGCCAAGGGGTGGATGTCAACAGAGAAGTCCAAACGGGGAATCAGGTTTACTCTGCTCACCTCTCTAGCTTCAGCAGCACAAAGTCTGCTTCGACTATCAAGGCATCCCGGAAATAGCGGGTCACAAGAGAGTGACAAACATACAAAAGAAGTAGAGGAAAAATGACGATAGTAGGGATTAAGAAAGAAAAAGCAGCAGTTCCCTGTTGTAGTGCAGGCACAGTTATGAGCATGACATTGTTAGATCAGCCCATTTACACATTTACTGTGCACTAGAACGAGAAATATCCCCCCTTTGGGAATGGCCTAAAGACACTTCAGTCAGTGGCACCGCCCCGGGGGGTAACAGGGAGTTAGAAACAACAGAGGGAAAGAAAAGAAGTAGGACCTACCAGTGGCGCCCTCCAACCACCCGCAGATTGAGTGATGGAAAGCACTGAGGGTACAGACAATCATACAGAACCTCCCACTTACCCACAATGCAACCTTTCCCTCCGGCGTTGATGGCCACCCCTGCGGCTCGCCCGTCGTAGATTTTGTTTTCACTGCACACGACAAAAAAGAACCATAGATATCCAGCTGGTCAAATGTACGAAGTCCAACATTTTGATCATTCTTTTTATTGCAGTTTCTTAATCTGTGGTGTTGGTTGCATGTACTCATTCAATATTTAACCAACATTCAAATTCTGAACGTCAAGAAAAGCAAGAGAAAATAGATAACGCAGGTAGGCCTACTGTGGTGTATTCTACTTGCCAACAGTCCAAGAACACCAACAACGTTAAACATTAATAAATGAAGCAACTTCTCGCGTTGGGTTCCAGAGTTTAATATAAGACTTAAACTTTACATGACTGTGACTTGTGCTGCCGTAGGCTGGACATCTTTGCTCTGTGTGTGTGTGTGTGTGTGTGTGTGTGTGT